CAACTATATTTTTATTAATATTATTATTTAATATAAATACCTGTAATACTGTGATTATTTTCGTAATTAAATGCTTACTCATCGAATGCATTCCATATTATATATATTTGAAAAGAGGAAAAAATTATTTCTTTAATTAAAGCATAGCCAAGTATGGTTCCTATTTAAAAACACAAGTTTATGTCATAACTTGAATGATTTGTTTTTTAATTTTTCCGATACCAACGTATTCTATGTAAAAAGTGTCTGAAGAATGTAAAAGTTGTTTTTTTCGAATGTTAGAAACAATATAGATATTCACATGTAGCCAAAACTCGAAATTTTCAACTTTTGTTTATAGCTCAAAAACAAGTTATTAAAGGAAAGAGGTCCAGAAGCCGCCCTTAATTTTTTTTGTATCTCTTATAGTCACCAAGTTGTCCTACACAAATGTCGAAATTAGCCCTAACATAAGTAAATATCTTTCTTCTATTCATCCCTTATCTGATAAACAAACCCGTTGTGGTTATCAACTCTTTTCTTATCTCGCCCCGGAAAACAAAATATACCCTAGACGAAGTTACCAAGTTATGAAGTGATCTGAACTTATTTTTTCGTTAAGAATATCACAAGGCCGCAATTGACCAATATAATTATTTTTACGACTACTGCATTGAACACATCTAGCTTTTCAGAGGAAGAGTTCTAACTAATAGGATATTATTTAAAGTAGATATTTTCAAGACTTCTATTTTAGGCTAAATTTAAGGCTATGTGATTATCGTTTAACTAAAGTGACTTCAACGCTTATTTATTTTATTTTATAACTCCAATTTATGCATGTAAAATGTCAAAGCGCCCCACTTCAGCTATAGCTGGTGTAACTTTTGTATGGTGTTCTTATTTAACATTTAGTACCTACTTCATTTGACGGCTTGTCGCTTCATTGTTTAAAAAGGTTATACAATTCATTCTCTTCAACTTCTATGTTTAAACTGAACCACAAGTAACTGTTTAGATTCTATGAAAGATATATGTCGATTATGAATAGTGGATTATTTTTAGCATTACACACTCTGACTATTTAAAGGGATTTATAGCTAACCTACTAACTGTACGGTAAATCCTTACTTGCAGTTTTTAAAACAGACAATGTACAGTCGAACTTTTATAACTCGTCTTCATTCCAAATATATACCGTTGAAAACCGGATGCATACAAATTGCAAGCGTTGACATTATTTTCTAAAACAATAAAAACATGAAATGTTAGTTTCACGTTAAAGTCTATTTAGATCGTCATCAAATTTCTGCAGAATGATCCTCATATTTTTAGAAAAACTTCGAAATCCTTTTCTGCGGTCATTTATGTAGCGTCCACCAGTGATTTATTACACAGAAGCGAACTGCTATTGTTTTAGGTATCCGTAAAAGAAAATATCGAGTATTGATTATGCCCGTGGCGTTTACACAGCTGTCTATAAAAAATAACCGTCAGTAATCAATGTAATGATTTCATAAAACGTGCTTATACGTAAAACTGCTCCCTCCTGATGATTCGTCTCGAATCATGTTCTGTCCTTCCTTTAAAAGATTATTTTGATATCTTATGCCTTCCGGACACCAAACGGAAGTTCAATCGAGCAAGTGCTTGAAGTGGGTTCTAGTGCACACCAATACCTCTGCTGAAATATACCGAAACAGGACTTCAACATGCTTTGTGACGCCCTCTATTTCAGCTCGTTAGAAACTAAATCCTATTCTTGGGAGAGGAAAGTGAATTTCTCAGATGATTCTTCTTTGGTGATAAATCGGTCGCCATCCGGTAAATCTACTTCTATTCCTTCTATTCGTGGATTGGTCTTGGAGCTCCAGCAACTAACCAAACGTCTTTTTAAAGACCACGGCCGCCATTTAAGTTTTTGGCCAGACAAAAAGCCAGGGAATATTCTTCAGGGACAGTAAATAGCACTTGAGCTCGTTCAAAAGTGACTCCCAATCTGGATTTAGAATAAAAGCTCAATGTAACCATAAATTATTCGTACTGAGGATTCGCAAATCGGGCTTGCATATTTTTGATCTTGATATCGTTCTGATGGCCACCAGATATGGATCCAATCAGTTAAAATGGACAACCTTCATTTCCGATTCGGTGCACATCTAATCCGAAATATCATCATTTATATGATTGGCGATTTTGTGTGGACCTTCTTGGTGCTGTTGCAGTTTGTGGTACCGTGGATTACACAGTTACACCAGGCATGCTTCTTGGAACAAACTGCATGTAGGAACGTACTTCTTCGTTGATATTATCAAGTCGCTTTCAGAGTTCCCTAACGCAGTCTTAAGGTAGTCTTCTTCAGCAACATCCACGCTACGCTTACAGCCAGAGTCACATAATATTCACAATTCCAGAACTTTTGCTGGTGTCTGCCTAGTAGCTTCATGGATAGACAATCGATATGCCATTAGAAACAATGGCAGATAACGATATTTGGAGACCATCTTAGACAAGTACAAGGTGTCTCATTTTCGGCACTCCATTTTACTTCACTTTACAGCACGTCGGGACCGAGAAATCCTTAAGAAAGTTATTCCAGAACTGATGAAAATTTATCCATTAGTCCTCTATAATTCCGTTTGTTTTCTGCAAGAAGGTGACCCAAGACACAATTCAGCGTTCTTAAGGGTATTTTTAGACGATGACATTCCTCAATGATGAATCGGTACCACGGACCTGTAAGATAGTCCTTTCAATCTCCGGATCGTTCAATTTTCTCTTATGAGGTTTTAAGGAAAATAAAATCTATTAGAAGCGATACTTGACTTTTAGAAATTTACAAAGGTCTACGATGTTTTTAAGCGCATTAGAATAACGGAAATTTCGCATGATATAAAAAATTTATTTGGCGTTAATGGGTTGAAGCAGGTAGGTCCATACAGTGCTGTTAACAAAAAATAAGAAAGAAAATATGATGATATAGGAATTAAATAAACTGAAATATAAAATCAAATATTGACCTACACTGGCGTCCTAATATATATCAGAAGTGGAAGCGATAATGGAAACGATGTAAACAGGTAGTAATCTAGAAGCGAAACTTACAACATATGAAGTGTGGAAGGGATAAAATGTATAAAATAATTATATTATTAGAAGAAATGAAAGAAGAAAACTCTCAATGTTGAAAGGTGATTACCGAAAATTTGCAAAAATGAAAAATTAAAGAAATAAGAGATGCAAAAAAAAAGCAAAAACGAGGTCCTTTCTGAATTCGATAAATAACGTCGTTGGTGCGTCGAGTAATGGTGTATGAACTATCCCAAGCTTGTTATGGGTTCGGAAAAAGTTCCTTCTCTTCCTTCTTCATCAATAATAAAACGTTCGCTGAACTGTAGGTATGTCACGGTTAGAACAATAAAGAGTATAATCTTCAAGTTGTCAATTTCTTTTTGGCATTCGGCTGCCCATTAGAATGAAACTCCATTTTCTGTAAATCTATGCAGTGGTCGGATTATATCGGCAATTTCTCGGATGAATTTTCAGTAGTAGGAGCAATGTCCCAGAAAACATTTAAGTTCGTGATGATCCTTTGATATCGACCAACTTCGTATACGGCGATCGTTTTATCGGGGTCGGTCATAATTCCTTCCGGTGTTCTCTTCTAAACAGGATGCATTGATGTCGGTTTCGTCTCAGGTTTTTCTTCCCAGTTACAGTGGTAGATTTCAGCTACTAGTTTAACTACTCCCAACTCTGTGCCCTTGCAGATCTCTCGTTCGACGTATTTCAAATTGCCTATTCTAATAGATGTTGATGATGTTCCACTTACGTACGTCGCACCAATAACGCCTTTTATGTCAAGTCCTGATTGTCCAGTTCGACTACCCCTACCAATTCGTCGATGTCGTCGGTTATTTTGACTCTTACAGTACTCTCGGAGTGATTCAGTAGTACTCGATCGTTTTCTAAGATCACTTTCGATGCGCATTATAGAAGTTTAAATCGATTTCATCTTCTTGATGAGATTTCTCTGCAGTTGCAGTCAAGATTAAGTCTTCTTACCCAAGATCAAATTCGACATTCCGATACCATATCAAGTAAAACAATAGTGTTAGATGCTCCTATGTCGATAACCATCCTAACATTATGCTGATTTGTAGATCCTTCTATAAATAATGGGTTACTTCCGTCCTGTCATGAAATGATGACTTCTTCAGGAGTTTGGGGAAGGTGAGCCAACTTGCATCCAATAAAGTTGGCTGATAGTAGTTTTCCGACTGTGTCGAACAAAATAACCAGCTCTTTGACATTGCCAACATTTTGAATTTCGTTTTTTCGCGTCTACAGCAGTGGCTTTCTTCGCATATATTATGTACTCTTTGATGAGCGACACAATTCCTTCCTTTATAGTTGTGCCATGATTTATTTCGGTTTGTTGCACCCGTACC